CGTCCGCGCCTGTCTGACTGGGGGGCGGGCGGCTGACGAAAGTCTTCGGGATTAAGGGAGTGCCCAGGGAGTTGACTGGTCGCAGAATCGACCATGGCGCTGAGGCGCCCGCATGGGGCGTCCAAGGCTGCTGGGTCGATCGAAGCTGCTGTCTCGCTGGGAGCTCCTCGGGCTGAAGGCCCGTTGTCTGTTGCGACTCCTGTCGCCGCGTGGCGACTCCTGTCGCCGCTTGTGGCCACATGCCCAGCAGCGCTCCCGAAGACAAATAGTGCCGTCTCAGGTTCTCGAGCTGAAGGCTCTTCAGTTCTAGGGTTGCTAGATGTACCTTGGCGCCTGGAGCTGAAGGCTCGCTCAACTGTGTCAAAAGTCGCTCCAAGGGCTGAAGGCCCATCTTCTATGTTTAATTCGCAGCTGAAGGCTGCTTCACTCAGCGCAGAAGCATCCAGGAGGGGAAGTTCGGCGGAGTGAAGGCGCAAGCCTCTGCAAAGCGAGTCGGGACCAAGGGCGGCCGTCTGCCTGTCTCCCCCCCCCGACGCCCTCGCCAACCCCCCCTGGGGGGGCCAAACCCATAGTCCCCACCTCCACGTCGCAACGGCCCCTGGGTCGAACGTCGAGGGCATCCCTCTGGCAATCGCCAGTACGCGGACCACGCGGACCTGGATCCGCGGGGGGGGGGTCGCTTGTTCAGGAGTGGGGCCCTCGCCCCCCGTAATCCTGGCATCGCCGAGGGCGATCCAGCTCTGCCCAGCGCCGCCTGGAGAGAAGGAGATTGGGCGCCCTGCACTGGGCATGGGAAGGGTCGGGGTGAGAGAGGGGGATAAGCTAGGCGGGGGGCATCATGCCTGCCGTTATCAAATCCAGGGAGGCGACTGAAGGTCGCAATATCAGTGTGCATCGCGGGGTTGAACGCATCACCCCCTCCTCCCGTTTGGCTGAAGGCCACAGGTTCTCGTGTGCATGTGGCGTCGGCGGAAGCGTTCCCGTTCCAGGGGGCAAGGGGCGACGGCTGCCCTGGCGGGATGGTGTCCTGTGATCCAGGGTGAGGATGCCTTGAGTCAGCCAGTCCGCTGGCCCCAAAGTCGTCGACTGGCGACGCGGTCATCGTCTCTCCAGGGACGTCAGGACCTGGATCTCGAGCTGAAGGCTCGTCACTTCTGTGATTGCCGGATACGCCTTGGACCCTCGAGCTGAAGGCTCGTTCCGCGTGAGTATCTCGAGCTGAAGGCTCGTCACATCCGCGACTGTCCGACTGGGGGGCGGGTGGCTGACGAAAGTCTTCGGGGTTGCAAGCGCGTCCAGGGAGTTGACTGGTCTGGACGCGTCCAAGGGGGGGTGGTCGGCGGAGTGCGGGCGTGAGCCAATGGGATGTGGATCGGGGACGTGGGCGGAATGCGCTCGGTCCGGCTCGTCCTTTCTGGAGCTGTGAGATATGCCTGTGGAGACTCCGCCATCCGCTCGGGGAGGCGTCGTGGACCTCTTGTCGGGAGAGAACTGGTCTCCAACCGCGGGCGCTCCCTCAGCAGCACTCCCACCTGTCGCCACAATACTGTTGCCATGGGGGGGGCAATGGAGAATGAGGTGGTGGCCGACGGCCCCGGCGACTGGCAATGCGATAGCTTGAGCTCGTGCCGCCACAGGTTGAGCCCCAACCGCTTGAGCATCAACAGATAGCGCCCTCGAAATCCTGTTGTCAGGGGAGGAGCAATGGGATGCGAGGTGGTGGCCGACAGCCCCGGCAACTGGCAATGTGCTAGCTTGAGCTCGCGCCACACGCTGATAGGAAGGAGGAGCTGCACCTCGACTGTCCAACTGGGGGGCGGGTGGCTGACGAAAGTCCTCGGGGTTACAGGAGTGTCCAGGGAGTTGACTGGTCGTTGCATCGCCGTCGGCGCCGAACAGTCCGCTCGGGGCGCCCCAAGCTGCAGGATCGCTCAGAGCCGCTGTCTCGCTGGGAGCTCCTCGGGCTGAAGGCCCATTCTCTACGTGCGCAACGCTGTCAACTCCAGGAAGGGCGGCGGGCACGCGGCGACTCCGGTCGTCGCTCGTGGCCACGTGCCCAGCGGCGCCCCCGACAACCATTGGCGCCGCCTCCGATTCTCGAGCTGAAGGCCCGTCCTTTCTGAAGCTGTGAGATATGCCTATCGAGACTCCCCCATCCGCTCGGGGAGGCGTCGTGGACCTCTTGTCGGGAGAGAACTGGTCTCCAACCGCGGGCGCCCCCTCAGCAGCACTCCCACCTGTCGCCACAATACTGTTGGGGTATGAGGTGGTGGCTGACGGCCCCGGCGACTGGCAAAGTGATAGCTTGAGCTCGTGCCGCCACAGGTTGAACCCCAACCGCTTGACGCTGATAGGAAAGAGGAGCTGTAGGAACGCCTGTCTGCCTGTCTCTGATGCACGAAACACCGTCCCTTCCAGGATGCACGTCCGCAACGCCCCTGGACCACTGAGCTCTCGACCCCATCCCAGCGCCCTGGACCCCAGAGCTCTCGACCCCATCGCCGCGTCCAGGACCCCTGAGCCTGCCAGGTGTGCGGCAGCTAACGGCTGCACCGGCAGTGGGAGAAACTACAGGGAAGGACGCGCCGTCGTCTGAAGTGACTCCGGGTTGGCAGCTAGCGGCTGCACCGGCGGTGGAAAAAAACTCCAGGGAAGCACGCGCCGTCGTATCTCCCAGGACCCACAACCGAAGTGTCATCGAGTCCCTGAGCTCTCGACCCCATCCCAACACCCAGGACCCCGGAGCTCTCGACCCCATCTCTGAGTCCAGGAGCCAGGAGACCGCCAGGTGCGCGCCCGGCGGGGACTCCTTCGCCGCCATCCACAAGGGACAATCCAGGTTGGCAGCAAACGGCTGCATCCACATCCGCCGGTGGGGCGCTGCTCCTGCGGCTGCTGCTGCGGCTGTTGCTGCTGCTGCTGCTGCTGCTGCCCTGCTGCTGCGGCTGCTGCTGCTGGCTTGCTGCTGCGGCTGCTGCGGCTGCTGCAGCCCTGCTGCAGCTGCTGCCGCTGCCCGGCTGCTGCGGCTGCTCGCCGAGGGCCGCGGCGACGGCCGCCGCGGCCACGGCGCCGCAGCCGGCCGCCCCGGCGGCGAGGCCGGCGGCACGGGCCAGGGCCGCCACGGCCCCCCAGAGGCCAGCGGCGGCGGCGGCCTCGCCGGCGGCGGCGGCGGCGCAGCAGGCGGCCGCCGCGGCCGCCTGAGGGGGAGCTGCGGCCGCAGCGGGGGGGGGCCCAGTAGCGGCGGCCGCGGCCGCGGAGGCACCGGCCGCGCCGCCAGCAGCTCCAGCCGCGCCAGCAGCCGCGGCGCCGCTAGCTGCAGAGGCGCCGACGGCGCCTGCGGCGCCCGCGGCGCCGGCGGTTCCAGCGGCGCCCCGGCGCCCGCGGCGCTCGCTGCGCCAGCGGCGCCCCCGGCGGCGGGGCGCCAGCGGCGCGCGCGGCGCAGGAGGCGCAGGCAGCCTCAGCGGCGCCAGCGGCGCCCGCGGCTCCAGCGCCGCCCGGGGCTGGCAGCCAGGGCGGCCGCAGAGGCCGCCGTGGCCGCGGCCGCGCAAGCGGCAGCGGCGTCAGCGGCCGCGGCGGCGGCGCGCGCGCCCGCGGCCGCGGGGCGGCCGCAGCGGCGGCGCCGTCGCCGGCAGCTGCGGGGGCGGCAGCGCCGGCGGCGCCAGCCGCAGCAGGCAGGCCAGGGGGGCCGCCGCAAGCGGCAGGCCCGGCGGGCCGCAGGCGAGCCGGGGCGGCAGCGGCGGCGGCGCGGCAGGCAGCCTCGCGCCGCTGCCGCCGCCGCCGCGCCGACGGCGACACCATGGCGGGGCGAGGCGGGAGCGCGGAGGGGAGGCCCCGTCCGCGCTCCCGCAGGAGGGGGGGCCGAGGGCCAGGGGCAGGCCCCCGGCCGGGGCCGGCTCGGCACCTCGAGCCAGAGCGGCTTGAGCCAGAGGGCTACGGACGCTGCTGGGGATACGCGAAGCGTCGACAATACAGCATGGTTGCAGAATAAAGGATGCGTAAAGTGGCACAACACCTCGCCAGGTGCATCATTGTCGCTGCCGCCGCCGACCGCACACTTTCTGATCATTATCGCTGCTCTGTCCTATGCTTCGCTAAGCTTCAACGCTATTGGTTTGCTGTGCCATACGATACTGGCCGTTGGGGTCGGCCCGATGTCGCTCTGGCCGCGTGTTTCGCATTACCTTCTAGAACAGCGGCTTCCTTCGACGTGTTTGTCGCCGAAGCTCCATGCTCGCACCGCACTCTGTTGCCATCGCTGTCGCCAGCGCGGCCCAAATCATCATTCACACTTGCAAATTCGCCGGAGGGGCTAGAACAGTAAGGCGCCTCCGGTGAAGGGGCTCTGGGAATTAAGTTGCAGAGGAAGGTAGGGCCCAACTTGGTAAGGGATTAAACTTTACAAGACTACGTGACAACTCGCCCTTCTTGCTGTCTCCGCCATCTCTGGCCACTGTCTCCAGGGAAACCGCAAAATAAGGGAAACAGCTGTCATAGCAGAGCAACCCAAAAAGCTTGCAAGGATGGCCGTGCTAACGCTTCGGTGGCTCATCGATTGATTGACCGGCCAGTGCACCAGGGGAGCCCTTGACAATAACGCTTGGAAACGTGGCAGCCGTGCTGACTGACGTCCATGCTGCCTGCACTTCTCACTCGTGCGTGATCGCCCCCCCTCCAGAATGGCGACAGAAGTGTCCCGTAAGAGAATAATGACCGGCCCTAGAGCCGCTCCCATGGGCAAACGCGTTGAAAGCAAGCCAACCGAGCGATCAGCCCACTGACGGCAGCAGCAGTGCGAGGCCGGAGTTTGCACGTATCCGCCGCCTGGGGAGTCGATCTTCCAAGACCCCGACGGACACGGATATGGATATACCTGGGCCCTGCAGGGAGGCCCGACTCTGTACATCCATCGGCGCCACCTCCCAAGGTCAGAGGGGAGTCGGCTCCCCAGGCGGCGGACGTGTAGAAGCCCCAGCCTCGGAAGCAGAGCGTGCCGCGCGCGCCTCGCGGCCCCCGCACTTGGTCAGGCGGCACCACGCGAACGCGCACAGCGCGTCGACCAGCTCGCGCAGCGCCAGGCGCGAGGCCTGCGGCGCTCGGGGCGGATCGGGGTGGTGACGGGCAGCATGGGGACGAGGGCCAGCCACAACTTCCGCCCATCTTGAGCAGCACTTGCCGTGGGCCCTCTCGACTCTGGGCTGCGGGTCCCTGCAAGACTCAATGCAGATGACTGTATGGGACCTTGGGACATTCCACTTTTTGCCTCGGGACACGGTGGCGGATCCATCAGGAAAAGGAGTGGGAGAAGAAGGGGGATAGAGGAGAAGAAGGATGGAACAGGAGGAGGGGGAGGAGCAATTGACGCGACAGGCCGCAATTTCCGCCCATCTTGAGCAACACTTGCCGTCGGCGTCGCCGCGCCACGGACGTTGCCCATTTGGGGGCAAACGCTGCCAGCCCACCACGGACGGCGAGCCCAGGGGGGAAGTGAGAAGGGACGGGCCTTCTCAGAAGGCTCGGAAGTCCCCCAGCCTCTGAAAAGTGTTCTAAGCCTTCCCCGCAGACGCAGAACACCTGAAGACACAGAAAACCTTTCAGAAAGCCCGATGCATTCTGAGAAGCCCCGCCTCCTCCTGAGAAGACCTTTTTCTTCTCACTCCCCCGCCTCGCTCCCCGCCAACATTGGCGGCTGCCCGTTTTAGACAACGCGGGCTGTTGGGCATCTCGTGCCCATTTCTTCCGTACGCATCTCGGGCGTGCCAGGCAGGGCTCCCCCGTCGTTCCTGGCCGTGCCGTCGTCACCGCCCCTCGTAGGGCTTCCCTCGCGCACGCCTCAAGCCCCTGCGCCTGGCACTCCCAGCGCCACCCTGACGGGTGCTCCGCAGACGGGACGCTGCATGTCAAAGGAAAGTGGAGCCCTCCTGCCACTTCCCTGCGCCATTCCGCGCAAAAGGGGCGCTTCCCTGTCACATGCCTGCGCTCTGCCGAAAACTCGTGACAAGGTACCCGTCCAGGTGGCGCCGAAAACGTTCATCGTCTGGCCTTATCGTCTCAACCCAATCATGGAAACAAGAGGAAAGGAAAGGAAAGATAGGAACACGAACGGGAGAGGACAGGGCAGGAGACAGGAAAAGAAAGAGAAGGGAGAGGTGCTGAGAATGAAAATGCCTGCTGACGCTGCACTGTATGCCGACCCAGTAGCGTTGACCGCGCGACAGGGACTCCACACGACGCGCCTGCCTCCTGCCTCTCTCCGCACGAGGGGCCGAGGGACGCAGTTTGCAAGATACGCAGAAAGCCACATGGGTTGGAGCAGCAGCACTCACAGGATATAGAACACCATTGAATTTCAATATGGTTGCCAACGTGGTGCCCTATATGCACGCTCCTGCGCTATCGATGTGCAACTTCTGGAAGACAGTACCTCGCGTTGTTGCGTGCTTGCGACCTCTGTAGTAGTCTCGTTCGTTCTTGCTGGATTCGTAGTGAAAGCTATGCGGGGCAAGCTACGTGGTGCGATCCATGTGTTGTGCGATTCGTGGTGCAATATATGCGGCGTGAGGCATGCGGCGCAAACTACGGGGCGGAAGCTTCGTGGTGATGGCTACGTGGTGAACTACACGTGGTACCATCTGCGCAGTGGAAGAGGCAAGATATGCTGAGCGAGCCATGTCTTGCGAACCCTGTGGTGCAGTGTGTCGTGGAGGCTGTGTGATGCAAACTGGTGGGGCAAGCTGCGGTGCGCCGTCTGCGTAGCACAAGCTGCGCACCAGGCAGCGCGCGGCACCCACGCAACACCTGATTACGGGCGGGCGCGGGGCGACAGCCCGGGGAACACCCTCGGCACGGAGCGGCAACGGGCGGGCCCGCGGGCGGGCAACGCGCGAACGCGAGGGGAACCCTCCCAATCAATTGCCAAGACAAGAGCCCTGACGTGCACGCACTGCTTGGGGAGATGCCTGGCAATATGCTCGATGCCATGAGATCCTGCCGCGAGGGGCTCTCACGCTGTTCGTGCACGTGAGAGGCAGCGCGCGTTGCAAGATCTCCTCCAGAGCGGCGCGCGGGCCGCACGCGTGCGCGCGCCCACCCCGATCAACGCCAGCAGCCACAGGCGCACATGATCTCATCGACCTGCACGGCTTTACCCATGATTTGGAAGGGGGCCAGTTCTCATCTCCAGCAGGCCCTCTGGTTTGAGGGACGAGCTGCGTGATGCGAAGGGCTATGCGACGGAGTGAGTAAAGCTGTATGGCCGCATGCCATGCAGCACCTCGGCATGAGCGCTATCATCATCACCAACGGCGAGAGCTGCCAGCCTCCCCACCTTTTGGCCTTGGGGAGTGGGACCCCCGCCGCGCTGAGCACCTTGGCCTTGGGGAGACGCAGCTGCGATATGCTGCTGTCGTCCGCGGCCCGAGACACAACCACAGCCGGGGCGCAAGGCCCGCTTTCCGACGACCACCTACGCGACCAGGAGACGAAGGCTCCTCCTCCTCCTCCTCCTCCTCCTCCTCCTCCTCCTCCTCCTCCTCCTCCTCCTCCTCCTGTGGATGCAGGCATTCGCGCGGAGGGCACCCGAAGAGGGGGAACCGCAGGAAGAGAACACGCAGCCCATCACAACAACACTCAAGCCGATCGAGCCGTCGGATGGTTGTCTGCTGCGCGTGGCTCGGTCTGGGACCGTGACACCTTTGCTCGACCCCCGGTTTGACATGTCGCAAGTGCGCAGAAATGCAGCAGCATCCACACAGCAGGCTCATCGGGCCATCCGCGGGTCCCAGCGCGGGAGCTTGGCCGTGGGACTCGCTCTAAGCCCCGCGAAACCTGCCCAGCTGGACAAGTAGGAGGACGAGGAAGGCATGCTGGCCAGAACAATGACCTGGATGGGAGACCGGCTCAGACACCGACAGCTCTGACGCTCGGCCCGGCTCCGCTCAAGATCGACCCCCCGACCCCTCCCGGGGTCTATCCTGACTCGCTTCCTGAGGCGGGTCCTGCCGTGGCGACGAGATGCCGCCCAGGCGGCCCAGACAAGACCAACAACGAAAGGGACCCAGACCTCCGACAACATGACGTTTTGATCCCCGGCCCTGGGGCACCCGACCCACCCCCGGGGGGCAACTTTTCGCCCAGATCCGTTCTTATGTGGCCCTGGGGCCCGAAAACGGGCCCAGAAGGGCGGACATCAGGGGACAGCAAAAGGATTGAAATAATCATATCGCCGGAGATCGGGGGAAGGAGGAGGAGGAGAAGGGGAGGAGGAGGAGGAGGAGGAGGAGGAGGAGGAGGAGGAGGAGGAGGAGGAGGAGGAGGAGGAGGAGGAGGAGGAGAGGAGGAGGAGGGGGAGGAGGGGAGGAGGGGAGGAGAGAGGAGGAGGGCGGAGGAGGAGGAGGAGGAGGAGGAGGAGGAGGAGGAGAGAGGAGGAGGAGGAGGAGGGAGGAGGAGGAGGAGGAGGAGGAGGAGGAGGAGGAGGAGGAGGAGGAGGAGGAGGAGGAGGAGGAGGAGGAGGAGGGGGGGGAGGAGGGCTGCCGTTGCCTCGGCGGGCCCTCCTGCGAGCGATGCCTCTCGGCAGATGGCTCCGCTGCCCCCCGCCTGACCGCCGGGGCGCCAGTCAGGTGCGCTCGAGGCCTGCGCCGCCGCCATGCCGACGAGCGCGCCATCCACGGCGGCGTTCGACTGCGGGGATTTGGCGAGCGGCAGCACGAAAGGCGGGGAGGGGCGGGAGGATCAAAGGAGGACGATGTACCGATGCCGCTCGTCCTGGAGAGCCCTCGTCGTCACCGCTGGATTCGCCTCGAAATTTGTGTCAGAACGCACCCCAGGAAGGTGCGGGGAGTAGCGGTATCGGCACCGTTCTGTTTCTCCTGTAGGAGGCGGCGGAGGAGGAGAGAGAAGAGAAGGACCACGATGGTGAGGTGGCGGCATAAAGGAGGGGAGGGGCAAGAGGAGAAGGCGGCAGAGAAGAGGGAAGAGGGGGCGAGAGAGAGAGAGAGAGAACTGAGGAGGAGAGCGATGAGTACAACACTGTCGCTGGGAAGAGGAGGACGGGAACCCATGAGGATTTTGTCGCGCAGCTGCTGGGGGCGACATCCAGCAGCTGGCCCGCCACATGGCGCGGAAAACGGGGGGCTCCTCGGAGTTATTGGCGAGAGGGCCATGTAGACCCCATATAAACGGGGTCGTAGACGCATATTACGCGCGATGTTTGAAGATAACCGACGCAAGGTGATGCAGCGGAGCAAGAAGTACACTCCGGCCAACGCAGGCACAGTGATGGCAAAGGCTGGGCACGAGTACCACGAGAGGAAGGGATGAAGGGATGATTCCATATCGAGTGGAGGAAGTAAGACCACGCACGAAAACGAAGAACGACAGACTGACAAGCTGGCGCTTGGGTGAGGATGGGCCCTGGTCCCCATGACAGCCCCAAGATTGCCCCTCGCTCTCGGTTGCTCTCATTCCTCCTCCTCCTCCTCCTCCTCCTTCTCCTCCTCCTCCTCCTCGTTCCCCTTGTCGCGCTGACTGCTGCAATCCCTCTCCACGTGCTGTTGTTCCTCCTCCCCCTGTCCTCCTCCTCCTCCTCCTCCTCCTCCTCCTCCTCCTCCTCCTCCTCCTCCCCGAGAGCCAACCTCCCTCCACCCCTCCCCCTTTCTGGACCCACCCGCATAAACCTCTTGGAAGGCTGGCTCCAGGGGCGCCCCCCTGCCCAGCGCCTCACATCGACCACGACGTGAGCGACGGCGACGGCAACGGCGACGGCGGCGGCGGCGGCGGTCGACGGCAGCGCTGGTCCACGACGGCAGCGGTCCACCATGGCGACGGCGACGGCAACGGAGGGCGCGGCAACGGCGGCGGCGGCAGCGGTGGCGGGAACGGCGGCGACGGCAGCGTCGATGACGGCGGTCGGGGGGGTCTCGCAGCGGTGCGGCGACGGGTCATGAGGTCGCTTCAGGCCCCTAAGGAGGCCTCACGGCACGGCCTGCCGCCGCACGGCTTGGGGATCCTGGGCCCCCCCCAGAGAACGCGAATTATTGTGCTTGTGAAGGCGGTTGGCGAGTGTGGAACGCCCACATAGTCCCAAGTACTCCCCCCAATCATTCTCATTTCTAGAGTTTCGTCCTCCATCAATCTGCCCAACATCACTCCCTGCCTCCTCCGTGCAATACACGTTAGCACGATGTCCGATGCACTCTTGCACCGCTGAAACCGAACCGCGCCTTGTTTTCTCTATCGTCCCCTTGCCGCCAGACACCACCGTAGGCCTAAACCATGAAACGGTTCCAAGACAATACCATTATTCAACCGGTGATTTCAACACCACCGTTCTCCTGCTCTCTTTTTAAACCCGCAGACAGGCATCTTTGCTGCGGACAAGGAGTTCAGAAGAGGCCAACACCCGCACAGCAACTGCAAGCCGCTCGTCTTTGCGAGCCCTCTCTTGCTCTTGCTGGGGAAGCACCCAACGAGATTACACCGTCGCATCAAACGATTCGTGCCCATAACAAGCGCCCCGAGTCAGGGCCCCTTACTCCTCGGCCGGAGGCGCGTCGTCGCTCGAGCGGCAGAACGCAACGCCGCAACAGCCGCATCCGATGTCCTTGCCGGGGGGGAACTGCGTCTCCGTGTAGCAGCAGAGCATCTTGGCCGCGATCTCGCAGCAGCCGCGCTCCTCGGACCAGCAGGGGTCGGGCTCGCAGCTGATGCAGCAGCACTCGAGCGCGATGGATCCCGCGCAGCAGCAGGCCTTGAAGGTGCCCATGAGCGGCGGGTCCATGGCCTGGCTGGCAGTGCAGGACAGCTCGTAGCAGCAGCAGGCGACGATCGGCGACATGTTCTGCTTCAGCTCCTTGAGCTCATTGGTGGACGTCATCGCGTGCAGAACAACTGGTGGGGACGCGCAAACCTGACCAGAAGCTTTATGCTCGCCCTTATCGCGGCTTGTGCCAAAATGGCTACGCGTTCTCCTGCCCCCTCTCTTCGGTCACCCGCGTCGTCCGACGACATTTCCAACGATTTCAAGGTCTCGCTGCCGGTTCGGGCCCGGACGTGTTCTGTTGCGTGTGCTTCACTCCTGGTTTCCCTCCTCAGTTTGCTCCTGCCTCATCTCGTCTTTTCTTCTCTGCTCATTGCTTCTTTCGTAGCTTCTAACGCGTTCCAAGTTCTCCCTGGCGGCTCGGGCCTGGTCGATTTCCAAATGGGCGATTTCGAAGCTTCGGATTAGAATAGCGAGTCCCCCGCCGTTGCGGAGAAGAAAGGGGGGGGCGCAGGTGGGTCGCGGCGCAAGTGGGCTGCGATCCATCTACGCCGTGACCCATCCGCGACCCACACTCGCCGCGACCCACCCGCGCCGCGACCCATCCGCGACCTACCAACCCCCGCCGCGACCCACCCGCACCGAAGACGACGACGACAAGAGCAAAAACAAGAACACGAACACGAACAATAATAGTAACAAGAACACTGACAATAATAATAACAACGATACTCATGTTATGGCTGGTTTCTCTTCGTTGCCAGCGGGTCATGCAGCATGCGTGTATACACCAAGCCCTCGATATCCGCCCCCTCGGTCTTCGATCGTACCCCTTTGGGGGTTATAGCTGCCTTGCCTGCAGCGTGTGGTTGGCGCGGCCCTTACCATTGGAGGAAGAGGGGAAGGAAGGACAAGAGAACGAGAAAGCGAGGGGGAAACAGTAAGGGAGTCGGGCGGGCGGGCCCTAACAGGCGGGTCTGGCGGGCAGGCTCTCGCAGGCAGGTCGGGCGGGCATGGCATTGAAGCAAATTTCGCAAATTGCAAAAAGCCTCAGGCGAGAGCACGGGTCCTGAAGAAATGGTAAGGAAGTCTCGTGCGAGAACGCGACTCCTGGGCGTCGAGAGCTCAGCGCCTTAGTAAATCTTCAAGAAGTCTTCGGCGAGAGCGCGATTCTGGAATAAAGTGTGATGGGATCTCGAGCGAGACCGCGATCCCCAATAACTTGCGAGGACGTATCAGGCGGGAACTGTTGTTGTTAGAGCCTGGAGCCCAACAACATAGTTTGAATAGGAAACTGCTCTTCAGGAAAAAAAAACACTAGGTGCGAGCCTTGCGGGGGGGAACTTCGACTGAACAATGCAATGAGCTCCGAAGGGGGGAATCAAACTCATCATTCTTCAGAACCGAGAATTCTTAAAAGCATCGGCAACAACAGCGACAATCCGCACCGCGGAACCCCACTACAGCCACGCACCCACGGAGGACTGTAAGACCGTTCGGCCCCCCCTCTCTCTGATGTTTGTGTGTTCTCTTCTCTTGTGCCACTGCCCACGCATCCTGCTGCACGTCACGTGTCATGCTCGCACCCCCACTGGCTCACCCGACCGCGTGGCCACCCGACTGCTCTGGGACTTCCGAGCGATCGCTGCTGCCGTCCCGCGGTGGTGTGCGGCCGCGCTGGCGCCGCTGCCCGAGGATGCCAAATTTTCCATTACATGCAGCTATGCGCATCCTCGAGGGTGACAACGGAATGCCATACAATTGAATCAGAGCAGGCTTCAAAAGTTACATGAGACCATTTTTTCAGAAACATGTCGAACGGTACATCTTACATACTTGTATATCTACGCATTGTCTTGAGGCGGGCTCCTTGGTAGGTGATGCATCGTGGCTTGAACGAACAATGTGCGAATAACGAACTGAGATGAGGTTGACAGGAAGGCGCAAGTCCGTTTTGTATTCAGCAGCGTTCTCAGGCAAGCAGCTCGAGCGAAAGGCAATCGTCTAAGGTCTCTGCGTTGCTGCTCCCATTCGCAACTGAGGCAGGGGGAGACAGAGGAGCGGACCATGTCATCAGCACTTGCTCAAGTCTGAACTTTCCAAGGTATATACGCCAATTTCCTGCTTGGACTGCGCATACTTTGTAGGCATCAAGGTGAGAGTCCCGACCAGGAACCATCCTGGAGTGCACAAGCCCTGAATCGCGTGAACACTGCATTATTTGCAGTGCTCTTCGGACGCCGTCCAAGCACCTTACCTGCGAAAAGTCGTCCGCACAGGGCACTCGTACGTACGTACTACCTGCGGCTGCAGAAAGCTGACTTCTCTGCTGGAGTTGAGCATGCATGGAGGTCAGCAGCCCGGCGCTTCTGCGTTGCAGCGTCGGCGTGAGCATAAGTGTCATGCGCTTCCCATCCATTTATTTGAAGACGTTCTTGTATGATAATGGCCTGGAAGCGGGCCAAAGGGGCGCTCCAGGATGCCCGATATGGCGGATACTGGCGATGGCGGCGATCGCGGACATGTGTGACAGCTACCCCGTTGCCTTTTGTTCAAAGTCTGTTTAAACAACTTTAGTAGTCAGGACCGCTGTTTCGTCCCCAGTATGGACAAAACGCGTCGCTTCGAATCCGCCATTGAAGCCATTCACTGTGTCACCTTGTAACTCGGCAGCTCTCTTGAGCATCTGCTCCACAAGGGCATGGTTCTCGGCGCCCGCAACGCTGTCGAAATTGATCGCGAGGGCGAATTCGAAGAAACTCCACCCTCGAGAAAAATATTCCGTACCAGCAACGGCCTCGTCGTCCAGTGGCAAAACGATGACAGGAAATTCCGCCAAATGGAGGGTTTTCTTGGACAACGCCCCTTCCGAAATTGTCCGTGCGGAGAAACGGAACCCGCGCCGCCTCAAGGTAGTCCAGGTACTTGAGGTAGAAGGCCTGCAGCTGCCCCTCGCCACAGGAGTTGATGCGCTCGAAGGCCTCCTGCGCCAGGCGGCGCTGCGCCCCCCGGGGAGCCCAACAGCCCGCAGAGAAGCGCCGCGGACAAGCAGCTCACGGCATCACCGAGCGCCCAAGCGGAGGCAGTGGAGCCCGCTAGAGTCTGCGAGGGTTGAGAGGCCAGTCTGTGCGTGCGAGAAGGCCAGGGACACCAGCGACAGGGCGCCCGCGGCGCCCACCCACCAGGCCGCCAAGGCCGCCCTCCGCGCCTCCAGAGCAGCAGGCGCGCGCCGCGCCGGCCAGGAGCACCCACGCCGCACCCACGCCGCGCAGCCAAACCTGGCGCCCTGGCAGCCGTGGAACTGGCCGAAGCCGATTTGTTGTCACTGGGAGGAGGCCAGCCCCCAAGCTGGCCCCGACGGCCATCCCGAGAGCCCGCTGCGCAGGCCTCGCCCAGGCGGAGGGCCGCCCTCGCCGCCGCGGCGAGGCAGGGCCGCCCCAGCGCGTGGAGCCTCAGGGCCATCAGTCGCCACTGCACGAAGACGGTGGCGTAACAGGTCACGTAAGTCGCGCCCGAAATGACAGAGCACTGCCACTCCGCGGTACTTCTGTAGCCGCACGCGGGCCCTGGGATGGCCAGCAGGAGCGAGCCGTCCTCAAGGCGTCCGCTCGCGCCCAGACGCACCAGGCCGCCAAGGCCAGCCCTCCGTGAACATGTAGTGGCACGCTGGCATCAGCAGCCACCTCGCGAGGGGGCCCGCCACGGCCAGGGCGGAGAGCGCCAGCGGTGTGGGCGCTGCTGGCCCTCTGCGCTCCCAGCGGTTCGCCGCGCCCTCGGGCGGGCCGCCCCCCTTGGACAGCGCTGGGGCGCCGGCGCCGCGCCCCGAGGCGGGGGGGGAAGAAGGGGGGGGGGGGCGCGGGCGCCACGCTGGCGAGCTCGCTCCTCTGCTCGCCGGGGCCGCGCCGTGGAGCGCCGGGCCGTGCCGCCGCGGCCGAGCATGCATCGCTCGTCCCGCGCGCACCGGGAGCACGCGGAGGGTCAGGCCGAGGTGCTGCAGGCCGAGCGAGCGCCGCTGCCGCCGCCGCAGTGCCGGGCGGCCGCACCGGCGGCGCCGCCCGACGCTGCCGGGCGGGCGTCCGCGGCGACGGCAGCGGCGGCGATCGGCAGCGGCGATCGGTGGCCACAACGCAAGAGGGACGGGCACCCAGAGATCCAATGCATTGAACAAATCAAGACGGAGGTTGTTCGCAAAGTTCGGCCCCTAGGGGCTCTCGCCGGGCCAAACATGATCGACCCACGAACCCGGAAAGGAATATAGAAATGTAACGCATGGCAACGTTTTCAAAGACACCTGATTGGGTGACGGGCAAAGGCAATGCTGATTGTATCGATCTTGGTGTACCGTGCCGAAGGCTGTGCTGTGCTGCACCGTGCTGAATTGCGATGTGCCATGCCGCGGTTGTGCTCTATAGCGTCGTGGATCGAGTCTTCCTTTGCATCCGAGTCCTGACCGAACTGATCTGGATCTGAAGCTCGAGCTGACTGAACACATAGTAGCTGCCCCAAAGCTAATTGACAGGGGGACATGCCAGGAGGACGCGCCGCGAAACGTCCCAAGGGACGCGCCAGGCGACGTGCCAGGGGACGTGCCACGGGGTCGCACCGTAGGACGTGCCAAAGGGACGCGCTACGGAACGTGCCAATGGATGTGCCACGCGACGTGCCAGGGGGCCCCGCCAAAGGACGCCCCACGGAACGTGCCAAATTGCAATGCGGAATGTATCGATCTTGATGTACCGTGCCGAAATCTGTGCTGTGCTGCGCCGTGCTGAATTGCGATGTGCCATGCCGCGATTGTGCTCTATAGCCTCGTGGATCGAGTCCTCCTTTGCATCCGAGTCCTGACCGAACTGATCTGGATCTTAAACTCGAGCTGACTGAGCACGTAACTAGTAGCTGCCCCAGAGCTGATTGACAAGGGAACATGCCAGGAGGACGCGCCGCGGAACGTCCCAAGGGACGCGCCAGGCGACGTGCCAGGGGACGTGCCAGGGGGTCGCATCGCGGGACGTGCCGAGGGGACGCGCTACGGAACGTGCCAATGGACGTGCCACGGGAGGTGCCAGGGGACGCGTCGCGCGACGTGCCAGGGGGACTCGCCACAGGACGCGCCACGGAGCGTGCCAAGGAACGTGCCAGGTTACAACGCTGAGTGAGTGTATCGATCTTGATGTACCGTGCCGAAAGCTATGCAGTGCTGCGCCGTGCTGAACTACGATGTGCCGTGCCGCGATTGTGCTCTATATAGTGTTGTAGATCGAGTCCTCCGTTGCATCCGAGTCCTGACCGAACTTATCTGGATCTTAAGCTCGAGCTGCCTGAGCACATAGTCCACATTGTAGCTGCCCCAGAGCTGATTTGACAAGGAAACATGCCAGGACGACGCGCCGCGGAACGTTCCAAGGGACGCGCCAGGCGACGTGCCAGGGGACGTGCCACGGGGACGCACAGCGGGACGTGCCAAGGGGACGCGCTACAGAACGTGCTGGGGACAAGCGTCGTGTTGGTGGCCTGGACACGCAACAACACGTGGTTCCAGCTCGGGACAATCATGTTAAAGATCTCCTTGGGTGGCCTGAGCATGAAAAAACACGTGGTTCCAGCTCGGGACAGCCATGTTAGATACCCCCCTGCGTGACCTGGATACGCTGAATTCGCGCTCCCGCTCGAGACATCCTTGCAACGTCTTCCCTGGAGAGGCCCCAAAAGCGCAACCCCATGTTCAGAGCAAGAGACCAGGACTGTTCTGTATTGGGACAGTGTTTGGGTAGTGCTTTTCAACTCTCCATGCGTTTCCTCATAATTCGGAGTTGGGCCCGACGCCATGTTAGATACCCCAACTCTGCAAAACCAGCGTTTCGCTTGAAACATCCTCAACCAATTATGAAAAACAAGCGTTTCGCTCTAGACATACTGTCTAAATTCAAGGACATCCTAGCAAAACAAACGAATTAGTCGAGACATCCTCGAAATTCCTGCGCGCGGGACGCGGCACGCGCGAAACATCATCTGAATTCCTCCCCGCGGGGCGCTTTTCCGGGTCGCGGTCGGCTCTGCAAAACCAGCGTTTCGCTCGAGACATCCTCAACAAATTCTGAAAACAAGCGTTTCGCTCGAGACATCCCCAACTCTGCAAAACCAGCGTTTCGCTCGAGACATCCTCAACAGATTCTGAAAAACAAGCGTTTCGCTAGGGACATCCTCAAAAATAATTCCGCCGGCCCTCTTCCCGCGCGTAATTCATCGCAGAATAATTCCGCCGGCCCTCTTCCCGTCGATTCCGGGGGCAAACGGCTAAAAGAGAACCCTAGGCAAACGCCCTGTCCGGGAAATTACACTACACCCGCGCTCCCAGGGCCACGATCCCTCGTAAATTACGCTACGTCAGCGCTCCCAGGGCCACGATCCCTCGTAAGGGCTCCTGGGCCCTCCTGGGTCTTCCTTGGACCTCTTGGGCCCTCCTGGGCTCTCCTGGAGCCTCCTGGAGCTTCTCCTGGGCCCTCCTTGGGCCCCCTGGTGCCTCTTGGAGCCTCCTGGGTCCTCCTGGGCCCTCCTGGGCTCTCCTGGGCCCTCCTGGGCTCTCCTGGGCTCTCCTGGAGCCTCCTGGGCCCTCCTGGGCGAAGTCAAGGTCCGAAAACACATGGGACTTGCCACATTTCTGAAATTCGGTGCCACCCCTCACGCAGGTCGGCGGGGTCAGGGTCCGAAAACACAGGGGATTTGCCACATTTCTGGAATTCCGTGCCACCCCTCACGCAGATCGGCGGGGTCAGGGTCCAAAAACATAAGGGATTTGCCACATTTCTGGAATTCCGCGCCACCCCTCACGCAGATCGGCAGGGTCAGGGTCCAAAAACACACGGGATTTGATACATTTCTGGTATTCCGTGCCACACCTCACGCAGATCGGCGAGGTCAGGGTCAAAATCACCAGGGATTTCTGCTATTTCCGAACTTATGCAACTTCAAGAATCCAAAACTCCGTTCCCAGCGCCGTTCCGGAGGCCGCGGCACCTAGTTATTTATCGAGCGAACGCGTTTACCTCGTGTTTTTATCGTTTCAAGTCGATGTCGGAAAAAAGTTGACTTCACTTGAAAAATATCGAGGTTTCCTTAAAGGCAGTAAAATTCCAAGAGCACGATCTGCGTGAGGGGTGGCGAAAAATGGCCTTCGTCCTCACAGTTGAAATCCGCCGGCCCCCTTCGACCTCGTAAGTTATCCACAAGAATTCCGCCGGCCCCCTTCAAGTAAAAACCGTGGGGAAGACCATCTAAAAGAGAACCCTGGGCCCATGCCCTTTCCGGGAAAAAGCGTTTCGCTCGAGACATCCTTCCAAAATTCTAAGAAACCCTAGCAAAACAAGCGAATTAGTCGAGACATCCTCGAAATTCCTGCACGCGGGACGCGGCACGCGCGAGACATCCTCGGGATTCCTGCGCGCGGGGCGCTTTTCCGCGTCGCGGTCGGGGCTCCAGACTCTGTTATTTGTCGAGGATTCTGCGAATTACACTACACCCGCGCTCCCAGGGCCACGATCCCTCGTAAATTACGCTACGTCAGCGCTCCCAGGGCCACGATCCCTCGTAAGGGCTCCTGGGCCCTCCTGGGTCTTCCTTGGACCTCTTGGGCCCTCCTGGGCTCTCCTGGAGCCTCCTGGAGCTTCTCCTGGGCCCTCCTTGGGCCCCCTAGCCTCTTGGAGCTTCCTGGGTCCTCCTGGGCCCTCCTGGGCTCTCCTGGGCCCTCCTGGAGCCTCCTGGGCCCTCCTGGGCGAAGTCAAGGTCCGAAAACACATGGGACTTGCCACATTTCTGAGAAAACGGTGCCACCCCTCACGCAGGTCGGCGGGGTCAGGGTCCGAAAACACAGGGGATTTGCCACATTTCTAGAATTCCGCGCCAACCCTCACGCAGATCGGCGGGGTCAGGGTCCAAAAACACATGGGACTTGCGACATTTCTGAAATTCGGTGCCACCCCTCACGCAG